CATCAACAGGAGCTGTTGTAGCAGCAGCAGCAGCAGCTGCTGCTGCTGCTGCCGCTGCCGTTGAAGGACAAGGCGGGCGAGTGTCTCCATCGTAAGACAACAGCCACAGAACGCGGGACATGTACAGAGAGCTCTTAGCAGGCCTGCATACAACCCCACAAACCCTAAACCCTAAACCCTAAACCCTAATCCCTCAACCTTTGAACACTACACTACACCTGCGAAAATGCAAGCCTTCTGCCGAAACCCTAAACCCTAAACCCTAAACCCTAAACCCTGGGCACCTGAGCTGTATATCCATCACATATCCGGTTACTGCTGCTGCGAGGTGGAGCTGCAGCGCCGCCCAGTCTGCTGCATTGTCTTCTGCAGAGGCGCTATCAATCTTGCTGCTGCTGCTGTTGCTGCTGCTGCTGTTGCTGCTGCTATTGTTGCTGCTGCTGGTGCTGGCTGCATCTGCGATGGGTGGATCCTGTTGCATGGGTTGCGGGTGCATGTTTTGCTGATGGTTTAGGCTGTGCTGCTGCTGTTGCTGCTGCTGCTGTTGCTGCTGCTGCTGCTGCTGTTGCTGATGTCGCTGCTTCAAGGCAGCTAAGAACAGCGTATCGTGCAGCTTAGCCCAGCAAAGCCAAGCAGGCCCATACAGCGGCTGCAGCAGCAAAACTGTACGCAGCACCGACTCCGCTTCCTTCGCTAACTCTGCAGCAGGCAGCAGCCGCAGCAGCAACGCAACACCTTCAAATGTATATATACATACTCAAATAAAATACATATAATATATATATATATATACATATATATATATATATATAAACATATTTCTGTAAATATATACACATATATACATATACATCCTTGTGCACAGATGATCATACAAATACGGATAAATATACATTCATATATATATATTTATATATATATATTTATATGTATATATTTATATGTATATATATGTTATATACATATATATTACATTATATATTATATATATACAGCAGAAGCAACAGCAGGGGCAGCAGCAATAGAGGGAGGAGCAGCAACACAAGAAGAAGCAGCAAAAAAGCAGCAGCAGCAACAGCAGCAGCAAGCTGACCTTCTCTAGACAACCCCGGGTGCTGCTCTGGCTCATTAGATGCATGCAAACGATGCAGCAGTTTTGCTTTAAGCAGCAGCAGCTGCAGACTTTGCTGCTGCAGCTGCGGCTGCTGCCAATGGGGGCCTTCAGAGAGAGCCTCCATGTCTAGCGAATTCAGCAGCTGCACACCTGTAACCAGCAGCAGCAGCAGCAGCAGCAGCAGCAGCAGCAGCAGCAAAGGAGCAGAAGCCATTATATCACTTTTCATAGCCACACGCCTCTGGAGCAGCAGCTGCAGCAGCACCACAGCAACATGAACAGCTATACGTGCCCACAAGCAGCAGCAGCAGCAGCAACAGGAGCAGTAGAAGCAGCAGCAGCAGCAACAGCAGCAGCTCACCAGCAACCCAGTGTGAGGGTTCGTCCAGGCACAGTTTTGCCTTCTCCACCTGCATGCAAACAAACCCTAAACCCTAAACCCTAAACCCTAAACCTTGAACCCAGACAGTATCATTCAAATACAAAGTGCGCAGAGCAGACAGATGGCAACAGCGGCTCAAACTTTGCTGCAGCGGCAGCAACAGGTGCAGCAGCAGAAGCAGCACTAGCAACCCGCGCAACAGCAGCAGCAACTGGGGCAGCCCCAGCAGTAGCAGCAACAGCAAAACCCCTCATAACAGCAGCACCTGCAGCATTAGCAGCAGCAGCCACCGCAGCAACCAACACAGCACTAGCAGCAGCAGCCACCGCAGCAGCAGCCACCGCAGCAACCACCGCAGCAACAGCAGCAGCAGCAACAGGAGCAGCAGCATCATCAGCAGCAGCATACAAGCGCCTGGAGGTGCTCTTGTGCATATGCAGGCTGATTAAAGGCTGGGAGATGCTGCAGCTTAATCAATAAGGCGAGAGATATATCTCTCAACTCATGAGCGCTGCGCGTTATTGCAGCAAAACGCAACATTGTCCAAGGAAGGTCTTGTAAAAACGGAGGAAGAAACCGTTTTTCTTCGCGAGATAAATGTGGCGATGCAGACACCGCAGATTGAACAATGCTAAATACAAAGTTCCGCCTAAATCACAAACCACAAACCACAAACCCTAAACCCTAAACCCTAAACCCTAAACCACAAACCCTAAATGATATTATGCATTGTACACCGTATAGAGGGAAACAGGAAACCAAGGATAATAATATCCATAAGAAATTATACAATACACATACGATATTATCCTAAACACTCATAAACCCTAAACCCTAAACCCTAAACCCTAAACTCTAAACCCTAGACAAACCAAACGAAAAGGTCGTTCCAGCAGCTGATTGCGTCGCAGTCGTTCGGCAGTCGATCCCTCCATGCATTTAAAGTCGTTCGCACCAGTGGCACTTCCCCTAAAACCACAAACCCTAAACCCTAAACCCTAAACCCTAAACCCTAAACCCTAAACGAACCAACAGATGCAACTCCAGGGCGCACTGCAGCAGCCCTAAAAACACAACCTCTGAAATGCCACGGCTCAGGATGCCTCTGTGTTCTACCCACACAAACCCTAAACCCTAAACCCTAAACCCTAAACCGCGAAGGTCACCTGGGCTGCTCATTTTCTTTGCCAGGTGCAATATGAGTTTATATCCCTCGAGCAGCTCCACGTACAGCTGGAACTGCAGCAGCAGCGGCACGTGCGCTTCAGTCGGCTGCAGAAACAAGCAAACCCTTAACCCTAAGCCCTAAACCCTAAACCTAAGCAAACCATACGAAAAGGTTGTTCGTTCCAGCATAGGGTTTAGGGTTTAGGGTTTAGGGTTTACGATGAGGGGGAGGCTTCTCCAAGACTGCAGCAGCAGCCGCTGGACTTCAGCGCAGTGCATGTCGATCTCCTGCAGCATCAAACCCTAAACCCTAGCCCCTAAACCTTAAACCCTAAACCCTAAACCCTACACACCATTTCTCAACAGGGCAGTAGTGGCGAAGCGCTCACAGCCGGAAGTCAAAGCAGTTGCAATCCAAAGTAGGGTTGAGGGTTTGTCTATTGAAAATTAGGGTTTAGGGTTTAGGGTTTTGCGTGTACCTGCAGCTTCTCCGTTCGAACCCAAGGCCGAGCATCCGTTTCCAGCTGCCCTTTAGGGTATAAGACTTCGTGCAGCGATTGGTAGGTCTGCAAACCATAAACCCTAAACCCTAAACCCTAAACCCTAAACCCAAAGCCCTGAGCCGTAGCGGCGGCCTTTCCAGACCTAAGATAATCATTACCCCTGTGCCGCTACGGTGTTCATATAAACCCTAAACCCTAAACCCTAAACCATCAATCACACCCACAAAAACCTAAACCCGTTACCCTGAGCCCTCAACCTTCAGCCTTTGACACTCAGTCCCAAACCCTAAACCCTAAACCCTAAACCCTAAACCCTAAAGCCCACAAACCTGGCAAAGTTTAGTAGCGGGTTCAGTGATGTGGTGCAGCTGCAGCAGTCTGTCTATCTCTCCCCAGTGCTGCAGTTTTGCTGCACACTGCAGAGACAGCCGAGACCTCCTTGCTGCTGCTTGTGAAACCTCATGAAGCGAATTCCATCGGTTTAACTCGCGGCAGCAGTCAATCCACATACGCTCCCTGCATCCAAACCCTAAACCCTAAACCCTAAACCCTAAACCCTAAACCCTAAACCCTAAACCCTAGCCTCTAAACCCTAGGGGT